TTCAACACTACACCATCGACAGTACATGATGTAACGGGCAGCAATGCGATAAAAAAAATATATGGTTAAATACCACACAAATCAATATGCTGTTTTTGGATTGCCGGCGGAAGGAAAGCTATCGATAGATTCGAGGGGTGCGCAATTATCGGAGCCACCAGTTCCTTAGCGTGACTCTAGACATTTTTAAAAGGAAGAGCGGTTTTTGTTGTTGGGAGTAAATAAAGTAAGAAAAGCAAAGATCCAGAGTCAAGTGCAAGCTGGACGCATACAAAAAAATATCTTAAATTATAGAAAAGGGCGAATTTTCGGTTATTTGAAAAATGTAAATTAAATTGAAATAGGTAGCAGCCACGCGCAGGCGGCCACGACGTGCAATGATTAATTAATTATAATCTGCATTTATGATAAATTTAAATTAATTTATTCGTCCTAGGTGTTAGTGTCGTCAAGCCGTTTTCGCGTCTGCTCTACAAAGAAGAATTATTAAAATTGTAAAAAGTAAAAGTGAAATGTTTGAGTAAGTAGTTACGGTGGGTGAGATAAGTGTGTGAGGCGGGTGCCCGTCAGGATTCGGGAGTCGGCAGGTGCATTAAACGCCAACTCATGATGGGGAGGGCTCCGTTAGGGTGGACCTTAACAGCTGTCCACCGTAGGCTGGTTTTCCGATTGTCCGACAGAGTGTTTGAAAAGTAACCGAAATTCGTTAGTCCAAGTTTAAATATAAATTATTTTGTTAACAGACTCTTCCCTTTATCGAGGTCTTACCCACCACTGGTTTATCTCTGTCTAGCCGGCAAGTCGATGAAGGAAAACAAGAAAAACAAGAATGACAATAGTTTTTTTTTTGCATACAATTTCAATAAGAATACTTTTTTTTAATTACCGTTAATATCTGCCAGAACATAGGCTGTGGTCCGGGCAGGTGGCTTAAAAGATGCGCAGTCGTTGTCCAGCCTTTGTTTTAGCTACAAATGTCTAAATGTCTATGTCAGGAGACAATCAGAAAAAATGTAGGAAAACGAAAATTAAAAATCTATATTTTACTTTAGTAGGAAAGACTTACCGATAAGCAGCCGCCTAAAACCAAACTTATCTTACCCATTCTTGTTATGTGCAAGTTCTGTAAACTTACGAAAGATAGAAATCATTAGTAAGCGTTAAAAATAGTCGAAATAGTTAGGTATATGGAATTTGGTGATGCCGAAGGGGGAAAAGGAGAAACATACTTTGAACAGAAGGTTTAGGAGCGGGATAGAATATATAAGAGGTAGAGGGTCGGAATTTCTGACTCCGACAACGCGATCCCAATCCCAAAGAATCCAAGCCCGATATCTATCCGAACTGGATAGCAGCTCACACTCGGAGGCCATGGATAACTCCATGGAACCGCGGAATGCCAAAAGAGATTGTATCATGGGCGACAGCGCGGGACAGTCCACGTCAGCAGCAGCTCGAGAGCAACAGGGAATGTCCACAATCCCTAGTGAAATATTATCGGCTATTAAATTAGCGCTGTGGCAGGCCCAAGAGACCTACCGCAAAACCGCGGCCTCGGAATTCTCATCCTTACAGGCGCAGATGAAGGAGGACATGCTTCAATTCATGAAGCAGATAAGCGACAGCCTTGCGGAGATGCGAGCTGGCACTGACACACGACGACGTGAGGGATTGATAGCTCAATGAATGATGCCACACGCACAGGAGCATGGAAACAAGCCGGTATCTCGCCGTAGCAGCAACGATAGTCGTCAGTCTGCACATCCGGTAAGGGTGATCGACCACCGATTGCTGGAAGCCGCTCAGAGGAGCCAAGCAAATCCTGTGAGCTGGACAGATGGCGTTCCTCACGAGTTCCGAGACGCCGGAGGACAGGATGGGTTCATCCGACCTTCTGCCCATGAGCCGAAGACTGAAGTGGTGCATATTCGCAGATGGGGTCTGGTGTTCGATGGCGGAACAAGAAGTATGCCGGCATCGGAATTCATCTTTCGGCTGGAGCATATGCAACTGACTTACCAGGTTCCGTGGAGAGAACCGTGGAGAGACCCTCCTATTGGAGGGTCAAGCGAAGGAGTGGTATTGGATGCATCTTCGTACATCCGGGATCCCAGACTGGCCAAATTTGAGGTATGCATTGCAGTAACAGTTCCAGACCAGGCGTTCAAATTTTGAGCTGGAGCACGAATTGCGAGAAAAGAAACAGAATCCAGGCGAGACAATCGATGAGTACATCCAGGCGATGCTAGGTCTGCGCTCTCGATTGGCAACGCCGTTTGCCGATCATGATCTAATAAAGGTCATAAAAATGAACATTAGGGATGCTATTACCCAATTTACATTACCAACATGGAGATGTTGCGCGAAGAATGCCATGATGCAGAGCGCCTGCTGAAAACTCGTTATACTCGCGATAAGCTCACGTGTTGGAACTGTGCGAATCCAAGACCCGAAACATTTTTTGCTATAAATGTGGTCTAAGAGGTGTTGAACTTCCCAAATGTCCGAAGTGTCAGGCGGAAAACAGCCAGAGGAGCCTGACGCAAGCGGAGGAGTCGCCCTCCAAGCCGTTACTGCAACTGCAACTAGATACCTCCCGTAAGGCATTATTAGAGATAAAAGATATCAATGAAGAAAAATTAAATGTTAAATATAATATAGTAAAAATTAACAATAATCGAAATAATCACGTTAAATGGTCAGAACGGAAGCCACTTGAAGTGAGGAAATCAGAATATGCAAAAGCTCAAGCGCGTATTTTCGCAACGGCCGCAGAGAATACACGCGAGAATCTGTGGAACAATCGAATGACGCTTGTCAGGAAGCCTGGGAAGAATAGACTGTGTCTGGATGCGCGCAAGTTAAATAACCTTACCATTAAAGACGCTTACCCGTTACAGAACATCGAGTCCATATTAAGCTGAGTTGACGACACCATTTTTATAAACAGCGTGGATTTTAAGCATGCATTTTGGCAAATCGAGCTGGACCCCAAAAGCCGCAAATTCACAGCATTCACCATACCCGGCAGACCTCTCTAACAATTCAGAATGATGCCATTTGGGCTATGCAACGCAGCTCAGAGATTGTGCCGATTGATGGACAAGTTGATTCCTCAAAGCTTGCGCAATCGTGTGTTCGCCTACTTGGATGACTTGCTAATAATTTCGAGGTCGTTCGACGAGCACTGGGAACTGCTGAAGGAAGTAAGCGACTGCCTGAAAAAAGCGAATTTGACCATTGGATTACAAAAATCCAAAATCTGTTTCAAATACCTGCGTTATTTGGGGTACATCATCGGAGATGGCGCATTGCGCACCGACCCAAAGATAGTGGAAGCAATACTGCAGATCGATCTTCCAAAGACCACCAGGCAACTACGAAGCTTTTTGGGCACAGCGGGATGGTACAGGAGATTCATCCCAGACTTTTCTGGACTGACTGCACCATTAACAGACTGCTTAAAGGTGAACACTAAGCTGGTTTTGACCGCAGAAGCGATAAAGGCTTTCCAGGAGCAAGAAGGCACTCACATGTGCATCCGTACTGGCACATCCTGATTTTCATAAGCACTTTTATAAACAGTGCGACGCAAGCCAATATGGAATAGGAGCGGTGCTTTTTCAGAAGGACGACACTGGAGAGGATAGGCCGATCGCTTTCTTTTCCGCCAAAATGCGGTGAGCACAGCTTAATTATAGTGTAACAGAAAAGGAATGCCTGGCCGCCGTCAAAGCCGTCGAACGCTTCCGCCCATACGTGGAACTGATGCAATTCACTGTAATTACCGACCATGCCAGTCTGCAGTGGCTAATGACATTGAAAGATCTTAGTGGGAGACTCGCTCGGTGGTCACTGGCTCTTCAAGCATTCGACTTCAACATCGAGCACCGCAAGGGCAAAGACAATATCGTGGCAGATATGTTGTCTAGGCCGCTTCCACGCTCGCGACATTGCAACACGCACCTTTTTATAGTCGTGGATCATTTTTCGAAATTCGTCTGGCTGAAAGCAATACCTTAGGCGGTGGTGATGTTTTTACGTGATCACATATTCACGCAGTTTGGGGTGCCTGAAATTATTCATACGGACAATGGCAGGCAATTCACGTCTAATGAGTTTGCCGAGTTCACGAGTAAATATGGATTCACTCACCAGAAAGCCGGGAACTATGCGCCACAAGCGAACGCGTCCGAGCGGGTGAACCAGTTTGTACTAGCGGCAATACGGATCCATGTTGGCGACAATGCGCGATGGGACGAACAACTACCCGAAATAGCGGCAGCACTACGCAGCGCGATACACAACAGGATCGGAACGTCGCCCTACTTTGCCATGTTCGGACACCACATGTTCACGAACGGCGCGGACTACAAATTGGCACGCAGGTTAAAAGCCGTGAGCGACACGGAGGTGCAGAACTTGGCCCGTGTCGAAAAGCACCAGATTTATAGAGCCAGGATTCAGTACACTATGCACGCAGCCTATAAACAAGCGACCAGAAGTTACAACTTGAAGTCCCGAGAAATAACGTACGCACCTGGACAGGAGATATACAAGCGTAACTTCATCCTTAGTGACTTCGCAAAAGGCCGCAACGCCAAGCTCTGCCACAAGTACGCCAAGTGCAGAGTCGTAGGGCGGTGGGATCAAGTCTATACGAACTTGAGACGCTGCAAGGAGTGCCGTTGGGGATATTTCACGCCAAGGACCTGAAACAGTAGGCATAAGTTTGTGCCCGGTTAAAGGTCTTAAAATGTATACGCACCTCGAAAAATGCGACGCAGCCGAATCTCAGGGTGTGAGCGATGGCCTACGTTGGCGCCACTGGATCACGACAACAATTGTTCAATTAAATTTATTAGTGTCGCCAAAACTGAAGTCCCACTATACGAGAGGTGCCGCTGGCGAGGATCAGGTCACCAGAGGAGCGGATTGGCCACCACCTCTGGGTGGCCTCAGGTTTTTTTTCTTATGTAAATTTAAATCCAAATTGAAGAAAGAATTCGAGATAAAAAAATGGCGGTCGAATAATTAATATTAAATGATCATAATTTTATATTAATTTAATTATTGTTATCATAATTATTTAATTAATTTATTATTAATTATAAGAAAGCGCTATTATTTATAGGTAGCAGCCATGCGCAGGCCACGACATGCAATGATTAATTAATCATAATCTGCATTTATGATAAATTTAAATTAATTTATTCGTCCTAGGTGTTAGTGTCGTCAAGCCGTTTTCGCGTCTGCTCTACAAAGAAGAATTATTAAAATTATAAAATATGTTTATTGTTAATTTATTAAATGTCTTTGTGTAAGTAAAAGTGAAATGTTTGAGTAAGTAGTTACGGTTAAGTTTAGGTTAGAAATCTCTATATATAAAACTGTTTGTCCTGACTGACTGACTGACTGATTGGTGATCAACGCACAGCCCAAACCGTAAGAGCTAGGAAGCTGAAATTTTCACTGTAGCTACCTTATGTAATGAAGGTGCACGTTAAGACGGGGTTTCGGGAAATTCCACCCGCAAGTGTGGAAAAATCGCGAAAAACGTTTGTATGTAACTTTTTTGTTTACCATCGGATTGGCCTCAAACTTATTTTCAAAGATCTTTGTTCAAATTCATTTGAGGGGTGTTTCACACTTTTAGGAAAATCCATTCCTCCTTGGTGGAAATGGAGGCCAAAAATTTGGTGGGTGACGTTTCGCGCTCAAATTCATTTACAAAGATCTATATGAAAATTCATTTGAGACGTGTTTCTCACTTTTCGCAGATTCAAACTTCTTCGGTAGAAATGCGATTAAAAAATTTTTTGGGTGAAGTTTTATTTATTCCCGATTTTCTTGAAACTTATTTTCAAAGCACTACATAAGAATATAATGAATACGTGTTTCAGCGATTTGGGAAATTCCACTCGCAACATTGGTAAATTGGCGGAAAACGTTTCTATGAAAATTGTTTGTTTACCGTCCGATAAGTTTCAAAATCATTTTCAAAGCTTTTTGAGAACGTTGATTTTTAGCATACGTTCCACGGGCAAGGCCGGGTTATAACCGCTAGTTGCTTATAAAAGAGTTAAAACTCTAGTAGATTTAGAAAAACGAAAGATAGAATACAATAAAAAACTAAATGACATAGAACGAGAGATGGGAAATCTAGTTCTACTAAAGAACGACACAGCGCACAAATTAAAAAGTAAATATTTAGGTCCTTATAAAGTTATAAGCATAGAATATAGAAACAACATAAAAGTAGATGTAAGAAAAAAGAAACCCCAAGTAGTCAATAAGAACAAGTTACAATTATTCAAAACTTAGCTTAGCTCGAGCATAGAACATATTACATTTTTAGGCCTGATCAGCCACAAAGCCATTATTAGTATATAAATACAAAAATATATAAAAAAAAAATAATCGTTACAAAAATTATATTTTATAATTCATTCTTTGTCCAATCGGGGAAAAGGGATATACACACATATATTAAAAATATATTAAAAAAAGTAAAAATCTAAAATTTATCCTAACAAAAAAAAAAAATGTTTCTGAATATAAAAATTTGAATATAAAAAAAATAAATATATTTTTCTACATAAACTCATCATTCATCAATAGCCCATTAAGTTTATCAATACAAAACTATATACAATGGTGGACAAAAATATTTTGACAACACAGTGCAAAAAGTAAAATCGCTTATTTCTGCCATCTAATAGAAGTTACGGTATCTGTTTTATTTTTAAGGGAGAGAGAATATTAAGAGCATTAGGAGAGCAAAAGTTTGCACTGATAACGAAACGCATTTGTTTTCTATAATTATCTGCGTAGAATTTGATTCTTCGTCTGGACAAAAGTATTTTGACATTACTTTTAATTTTGATTTTCGTTGGATCACGTGCAGTAAAGAACACGTGCTCTAATTTCTTAGGGTATTTTTCCGATCTTTATAAATAACAATTGGTGTTTCATCGCATATTTTGTTAAATTATGGGCAAAACTCGTGAAATAAGTGAACTTATTAGAAGCGAAATGGTAACGAAGTATAATGCAGGTATTTCTGTAGAATATCTTAGCAAATTATAGTACCTAGCCAAACAATTTATTACCAAATTAACAAAAATAAAAAGAACGTTTTATTAAAAAATAAGGCCAGATCGGGAAGACCTCGCAAAACAAAGCCCATAATTCTTAGGAAGAAAATATGCTAATTACACGATTGAGCTCAAAGAACACCATCTAATATCAATAAGTGGAAAAACTGTCGAAAGAAGGCTGAAGGAGGCCGAGTTTTCTACTTATATAGCTTGCCCAAATCCAGTAATTTCAACAAAAAAAAAAAGCTAAAAAGGTTAACATTCGCCAAATCCTACATAAAGAAGCCGCAATCATTTTGGGAAGTATTATGGACGGATGAAAGCACTTTCGAATATCATGGCTCGAAGAAAAAGGTTTATTGCCGATTGCCAAAAAATGTTCGGAGAAAAATGACGCTAGTGTGCGAACGGGTACCAAATGGTGGAGGATCGGTTATGTTCTGGGGATGCGTATGTTTCAATGGCTTGGGCGATTTGGTACCAATTGATGGGACAATGAACAAAGATAAATATTTACGTATTCTGAATGATCACGCATTTATTTCTGGTGACCGGACATTGGTCAATCGTTTATACTGCAGCAGGACAACACTCCATGCCACAAGGCCCATATAATAAATAAATTTTTGAAAGATGTTGAAGTCAATACTTTAGATTGGCCACTGCAAAGTCCCGATCTTAATATAATAGAGAACGTGTGGGCTTATATAAAAAGAAAACGAAGCTCAGACCTGTCCAGAACACGAGAGGAGACGATTGGTGAAGTTGAAGGACTTTGGATGGATTTTTCATTGGAAACCCTAAAAAATTTGGTAAAATCAATTCCAGTGCGCTTGCAAAAGGTTATGTGAAGGGAGGGTTTACTTTTTATTAGAGTCTGGGTCCGCAATCGGGATCGTATTTGATGCGGCTACTCAGGTAGCCACCAGACAGATCATAATCATAATTATAGTATATAATCATTGTTAAAGATATTGTATTAGTAGTAAGAATAGCCAAGGCGAGGCGCCGAGTTATTGAAGTTAATTAAGCGCAAGGAGCTTTCATAGCTTAAGTTTGAATTTAACCGGCAGCCGCCTCTGCAAGAGTGCAACTTCACCTCGGTGGCGAAGAGCGAAAGCTCCGCGGCGGAAGTTGCGAAAGCTCGCGGTGAAGTTGAGCGGCCGAGGCAAGCGCACGGCTCGATAGCGAGCATGCCGGCACTTTTGCGGCAACGGTCAAAGTGAGTAGACGTGTTTGGAAAAAAAAAGGGAATGAACATAGACGTAAGTGTGCAACTGAGCACTATGGCTCCAGGCAGGGCGACAGGGCCTTTACGTCGGGAAGAAGAATAAGGTAGTGCATAATAGCCACAGAGAATGAAGTGCGAATAAAAGTAATGTTGAAAACAAAGTCTGCTAACTCTTTTTATTTCCTATAAACGCCAATCTCGGGTATCGTGGCAAGCCGGTGTTCAACAAAGCCCCCTTCCCTAACCTAAAGTGTGGTGCCTAGTTGTACGCGGTCTCATCCCGGCTCCTGTGAGAACAATCCCAATATATCTATCTTCAGTCGCTTACGTAGATTTTTTTGTGTATGTGTTTTTTTTGTAATTTTGATGTCGAACCTAGGAATTCCATGTGTTCAACCGGTCGGACGTACAGACGGGCATTACTTCGGCTATTGCTGCTGAACAAGTATTTATATACTTAATGGGTTCGTTGTGACTGATACATACATTTGCACAAAAATATTATACCCTTCTTACCCATTTTTAATGGGCTCAGGGTATAAAAAAAAAATATGTCTAATTATTTGAGAAACAAAAAACCAAATGAATATTATAATTCAGGCTGCTGCCTCCAGACTTGGATTGGGGGCTTCCCGGAACAGACACACTTAAGGTTTTCGCCGCCTGTGCTGCACGCTGTTGCACTCCTTCTGGTCCCTTTTATCACCTCTTTCAAGAATTGCCGTTGTTATGGCCGGCGTGAAGTCAATATTAAAAAATAGGTTTAATTTATACCAGCACAAGAGTCAACTCGGATATTTGTTATTGGTATTGCCCAAATGCTAAATTCATTGTGTTTATCGCAACACACGTATTTTGCTAATTGAACCAATCGGTCAAGCGCCAGCAACCACAACATCTTTGCCAATATTTCCCTACTTGGATGGCACAGTGGATCGCAACTTGCCGTTGTATTTCTAAAACGCTGATTGTATACTTTTGAAAAAAGCGGAAAAAAATTGTATTAGCTTAGAAAACACATGAAAGAATTTAAATCAAACATTTATACAAATAAATATAATCAATCAGTCGGTTATGGAACACACCAAAAAATATGCAAGTATGCGTGAATAGCAAGTCCAGGAACTTTTAAATGCACATGTGCCAACGCTTAGGTACCCTTACCAACAATAACGAGCTAAAATGCAAGAATTTCGCATCGACGTGGCAAACCCTTTCATTATTTCATATACCTCGTCCCTTCAATAGGGAAGAAATGCCACCGACTTTAGAGAAAAATTGAATTTGTGCGGTCACATACACACACAA